GAATTGCACCTGCCCCATTGCCGACTGCCCCGCCCAGCCCACCGGAGCCTTCATTCGTGCCATCGTCTCCTCGCCAGAGGTCATCTCCAAGGTATCCTCTCTCGTCTGAGAGAGGCTCCAGTGCAGAGCCAAAGGAGTGTGCCCCAGGGAGTGGGCCGAGCTACGGGGTCTGGGGGCCTGGAGGTGTGGCATCCTGGAGAGCCATACCCTCACCTTGTGGCACCTGCGTCTCCACAGTATGAGAAGGCGCTCCTGCGTGGCTATGTGGAGAGCTGCTCCAACCTGACCTGGTGCACCAACCCCCAGGGCTGCGACCGCATCCTGTGCCGCCAGGGCCTGGGCTGTGGGACCACCTGCTCCAAGTGTGGCTGGGCCTCCTGCTTCAACTGTAGTTTCCCTGAGGTGGGAGTCCCACACTGGCCCTGACCCTGAGCAAGGATTCACACTCCTTCCCTGCTTAAGACCCCCTCCCTGCCACACACACAGACTGTGACTTGTCCTTCCTCAGCCTCTGCCTCCCAGTTGAGCCCTGTTCCTCTTCCTGGAGCCCTCCAAATGTGACCTGTGCCTGCTCCCCCCTCTCCTGTGCACACCAGCCGTGCTGTCCTCGGGACTTAGCTGTGTCCCTACCATGCCCTCTTGCCCTAGGCACACTACCCTGCTAGCTGTGGCCACATGTCTCAGTGGGTTGATGATGGCGGCTACTATGACGGCATGAGCGTGGAGGCACAGAGCAAGCACCTGGCCAAGCTCATCTCCAAGCGCTGTCCCAGCTGTCAGGCTCCCATTGAGAAGAACGAGGGGTGCCTGCAGTAAGAAGGGGGGTACTGTGGGGAGCCAGAGGGCAAGGGGAAGGAGGAAACCTGGCAGAAGGAGGGAGGAACGGGCTTAGTGTAAAGCTCAGCAAAAGAGGGTGGTTCCTCAGCCGCCCCTCATGTGGCAGCCTCCACAGTGGCTTCCTGGATCTTAACGTTCCTTTTCCCACTCGTAAGTCCACACTGAGCAGGGGTGCATTCAGCAGGGCTGGGTATGACTAAGGAGACTTATCAGGGCAGGAGCAGAGGCCACAGCATCAGCAGCGGTGCATCTGGGCCCTTGGCATTCCTGGCACGCCCCTGCCCAGAGGCAGGAGTCCCTGACCAGCCAGCTTCCTCCATAGCATGACCTGTGCCAAATGTAACCATGGATTCTGCTGGCGCTGCCTCAAGTCCTGGAAGCCAAATCACAAAGACTATTACAACTGCTCTGCCATGGTAAGGCGTTGGGCACTGGGGGAGGGCAGAGACCCAGAGCCGTTGGGGAGGGGTGCTGTTACCAGGTCCTGGGCAGACCAGGCTCCGTGCACAGTGCAGCGTTCTGGCTGTTGGGACAGAGGCTCAGTGCAGGGAAGACAGCCACCTGGGCCTGCAGATGCTGGAAAGTCTGTTCATAGGGAACTTCAGCTCCAGAACAGGACTTCTCATACCGAGGTGGCTACAGAAAGGCTGGGGAGGGCCAGACACTCTCAGGAGGCAGCAGGGCAGAGCAGGAAAGAGCAGGGACCCTGCAGTCAGAGCCTGGCTGTGCTGCTTAGCATGTGGCTTTGAGCAAGTTCATTTGCTTCTCCAAACCTCAACAGCCTCTGCAAAAGGGGTGAATAATATGACCTACCCCACACAGTCTTAAGGACTGAATGAAGATAACCAGGGGAGGTATAGAAAGGCCTCCATGAATGTTGGCTTTTCCACTTATTAACTCCTTCCTGTCCAAACAAAACACCCAATAGCCCACTCAACATATCCTTGCTAGGTAAGCAAGGCAGCTCGCCAGGAGAAGCGGTTTCAGGACTATAACGAGAGGTGCACTTTCCATCACCAGGCGCGGGTGAGCCGGGAGGAAACAGCGGGTAGATGCCTGCAGAAGCAGGGTGGGGTGGCGGGGTGGAGGCGGGTGGGCTGAAGGTCTGACCAGGCAGGTGGTGCCGCGCCACCTGTGCTGGTGCTGATACACCTTCCTCCACACAGGAATTTGCTGTGAACTTGCGGAACCGGGTGTCTGCCATCCATGAAGTGCCCCCGCCCAGATCCTTCACCTTCCTCAATGATGCCTGCCAGGGACTGGAGCAGGCTCGGAAGGTGGTAGTGGGTGGGGGAAGAGGGCAGGGGAGGGGCGTGCCAAAGGGGTCTGGGGAGCTTGGCTGCTTTCATGGGACTTGCCTGGATGAAGGGAATGAGGAGAGGGCAGGCGGGAGAGCTGACGGGAGCCCTTGCAGGTGCTGGCCTATGCCTGCGTGTACAGCTTCTACAGCCAGGACGCAGAGTACATGGACGTGGTGGAGCAGCAGACGGAGAACCTGGAGTTGCACACCAATGCCCTGCAGATCCTCCTGGGTGAGCCACCCCTGCCAGCCAGGCCCTCCTCCTGCCTCCTCCCCTCTGCTGCACAACCCAGCCCCTCCCAAACAGGTCAAGCCGCAGCCCCACCTTCCCTCTCTCCTCTTCCTCTTCATTCTTCACGGCCTTCTCACTGCCTGGCTGTTAAAGTTCAGGTCGAAAGCCTCCATTGTAAGGTGCCCAAGGGCGCAGATGTTTGCGGATGTTTCTTGGTTTCTGTCTCTACCCTGCTCCCCTAGGGAGCTTCATGAGAATGTCTAGAGCTGCACCTGGCGCTTGGTAGATGTTCCATAGGTGTTTGTTGGAGGAAAGAATGGATGAGAATGAGAAGGGAGGGAGCCTCTCTGTCTGCTCCCTCTGCAGAGGAGACCCTGCTGCGGTGCAGAGACCTGGCCTCCTCCCTGCGACTCCTGCGGGCTGACTGCCTCAGCACGGGCATGGAGCTGCTCCGACGGATCCAGGAGAGGCTGCTTGCCATCCTGCAGCATTCCGCCCAGGTACTCCCTGGCCCAGACCCCTTCTGCTCCTGCGTTCTGCGGGAGTTGTGGTCCTCCTGTCCCAGCACAGCCCCTGCCCTGGGGCGAGTCCAGAAGGAAAGGCAGCAAAGCGGGTGAATGGATGTTAGGAGACCTGGGTGCACATCCCAGCTCCTAGGCCAACCTGCCTGATGCTGCTGGACCCTATCACTTCACCTCCTGGGGATTCCTACAAAATAAAGGAGTTGGCTAGCCCACATCAAGGGTATTTGGTCAGGTGCCTATCAGAATCACTTGGGGAACTTTTCCAGACTATACTTCCCAGATATGGATTTGAAATCCTAGGAGTGGGCATCAGGGGATTGGGGTCACTGGAGCAAGGGCTCTCCCAGGCTCTCTCCAGCTCTAATGCACTGATGCTGAGTCTAAACTGAATCCTGTCCTCTGGTTGCTTACTGACTAGTAAGTCACGTGGGCAGAAAAGACATACATAGATTCTGTAAGCTCTTTAAGCACAGGGTGGTGTGCCTCACCCTGGTACCCTGTATCTCTGGAGACCATCCGTGAGTGAACTCACAAAGGCAGTGGTTCATGAAGTGCTGTGCTGGGAGGGGAGGAGTCCTAGCAAGAGCTTGGCCCTCACAGAGCATCAGTGGCAGGAATGCTGGGTCCAAAGGCCCCGTGCCCTCTACCTCCTACTTCCCAAATCCTTCTGTCTGCTCACCAGGATTTCCGGGTTGGTCTTCAGAGTCCATCAGTAGAGGCCTGGGAGACAAAAGGACCCAACGTGCCCGGCAGTCAGTAAGTGGGGTGGGCAGAGCCATGGAGGAGGCAGTGGGACATGGCAGCCTCCTCCGGGCTGAGTGTGGTGGCTTTCCCTAGGCCCCAGACCTCCTCAGGGCCAGAGGCGGAAGAGGAGGAGGAAGACGATGAGGATGATGTGCCCGAGTGGCAGCAGGATGAGTTTGATGAGGAGCTGGACAATGACAGCTTCTCCTACGATGAGTCTGAGAACCTGGACCAAGAGACTTTCTTCTTTGGTGATGAGGAGGAGGATGAAGATGAGGCCTATGACTGAGGGGGCAAATGCAGGAAACACCTGGAGCCGCCCCAGAGTCACGGGGCTGCGGGGGCGGGAGCTGCCCCTGTTTGTCATGGGGAGGGGATTCCCAGCGTCTGCAGTGCCTCTTTCTGTTTATTGAATAAAGGCCTCTTTCTCACACACGTCTCGGAGCAGGCTGACAGCTTCACCAGGGGCCAATCAGTTGCCACTGCCCTGGCCCCACATCCACCCACACCCCTAATCTTTACTGTTTCCTTTAGACCTCTGGACTCTTCTATCCTCCGAGAAGGCTCAGAGCAGACTCATCCGACCTAAGCTGATAAAGGGAAGTGAAGGTTGGCATGGAAAGGGCCAGGTGCAGCCCCAGCCCAGTTCAGAGGAGACAGAGCGGGGTGGCCACCCCCAGGAACAACCTTCCTCCCAACTCTTTTTTTATTTTTTGGTTCTGAGATGGAGTTTTGCTTTTGTCCCCCAGGCTGGAGTGCAATGGCTTGATCTCGGCTCACTGCAGCCTCCGCCTCCCGGGTTCAAGCGATTCTCCTGCCTCAGCCTCCTGAGTAGCTGGGATTACAGCCATGCATCACCATGCCCATCTAATTTTTGTATTTTTAGTAGAGATGGGGTTTCCCATGTTGGCCAGGCTGGTCTCCAACTCTTGAGCTCACGTGATCCGCCCGCCTCGGCCTCTCAAAGTGTTGGGATTACAGGCGTGAGCCACTGCACCCAGCCTTTCCTTCCAACTCTTGGCTCACTGCAAGCTCCACCTCGTGAGTTCACGCCATTCTCCTGCCTCAGCCTCCCGAATAGCTGGGACTACAGGCACCCGCCACCACGCCTGGCTAATTTTTTGCATTTTTAGTAGAGACGGGGTTTTATCGTGTTAGCCAGGATGGTCTCGATCTCCTGACCTTGTGATCCGCCCACTTCAACCTCCCAAAGTACTAGGATCACAGGCGTGAGCCACCGCGCCCGACCCTCCTCCCAATTCTTAAGTGTTCCTGTGGAGGAAGGGGCTTGAGGGCATTTGGAGTTGTCCTCTCGGCCTAGAGATTTCTAAAGCATCTATCTTGAAGTGAAGTGTGGCAGGACTCAGACAGAAAGTTAGGATTTTAACTGTACCTTTTAATTTGCTCCTGGGGCTAAGAGGAAGGAATGGTACTTAGAGCAGTGTCTGAGAACAGAAGAATTTAAGAAAGTGAGATTAAGTCAAGTGGGTGGGTCAGGGGAGGCAGCCATCTGCCCTGGAGGATCAGCCTCGAAGTATCGATCCAGCAGCGCCTCCACCTCTCCCTCCTCATAGTCCCACACCTGGAACCGAGAGCCATCTGCTGCTCCCCGGATCATGGCCGAAAGCACTGGAAAGGGCAGGGAAAGGTGGAGCTGCCTCCCATCCCTACCCTCACAGCTCCCTTCCCCCTTCCCTGTTGAGGGAGGCTCGGTGCTCAGAGCCCACCAGGGAAGGAGCTGAGGGCTGGGTCCACAGAAAGCCAGGAGGGAGGCTTGGGGTGCTCACCGCGGCCAGACTGCGGGCGGAACAGGCATAGGATCCGCTTGTTGAAGGCCACAGCCCGGCCCAGCTCATAGCCTACACCCAGGGATGGCTGTGTCACTTCTGCCACGACCACTGGGAAGAAAGACGAGAGGAAGCCTCAGCATTGGGGGCACTTGGGGTTCATAAGGAAGATGGCGATGTGGCTGTGGTGAGGAGGGAACTCTGGGAGTCCCTTCTAGGTGTGGAGGCTGGGATGTCCAGGGGAACCCAGCACTCCAGAGGAGTTAGGTGCTGGAAGGAGGGAGCGCCACTCACCATCCGCCTGCTGCAGCCACGCCAGGTCCCGCTCATGGATGAGCCTGTCACCCCCAGCAGCCTCTTCCCCTGTGTTGAGGGAAAGCTGGTCAGGGACATGCCTCATGCTGTCCTCGTAACTCCTATGCCCTTGCATGTCTATACCCACCCTGCTTAGGAGGGCGAGAGCCTTGTGCTAGATGACCTGACCCAACATGACGATCTCGTCAAAGCAGCGAGGAAATGAAATAGCCACAAAAAGAAAAATTCAGCCCTGTGCAAGGTGGGATGTGTGTGATTAGGGCCAAATGAGAACATGGGCAGCACATGAGAATGATTAGGGAAAGGTGCATGGGCACTTAGCCAAAAGTAGGAGAGGCATCCTGGGCCCAGAAGGTAGGGATCTCAGGTCCTAGCTTGATTAAATGTTATCTTCCAGGACGGTGAGGCTCAGCCCACCACATCAGGTTAGGACCACTGGGGAGCTTGTTAGAAGTACAGATTCCAGGGCCGGGCATGGTGGCTCATGCCTGCAATCCCAGCACTTTGGGAGGCTGAGGCGGGTGGATCACTTGAGGTCAGGAGTTCAAGACCAGCCTGGTCAACATGGTGAAACCCCGTCTCTACTAAACATACAAAAATTAGCTGGGCATGGTGGTGCACACCTGTAATCCCAGCAACTCGGGAGGCTGGAGCAGGAGAATCATTTGAACCCAGAAGGCGGAGGTTGCAATGAGCCGAGATTACACCACTGCACTCCAGCCTGGGCAAAGAGCAAAACTCTGTCTCAAAAAAAAAAAAAGAAAAGTACAGATTCGGGCCGGGTGCAGTGGCTCACGCCTGTAATCCTGGCACTTTGGGAGGCCAAGGCAGTAGGCTCACAAGGTCAGGAGTTCGAGACCAGTCTGGCCAACATGGTGAAACCCCATCTCTACTAAAAATTTAAAAATTAGCCAGGCGTGGTGGCAGGTACCTGTAATACCAGCTACTTGGGAGGCTGAGGCAGGAGAATTGCTTAAACCTGGGAGGTGGAGGTTGCAGTGAGTGGAGATCACTCCACTGCACTCCAGCCTAGGCGACACAGCAAGACTGTTGTCTTCAGGGGGAAAAGAAAGTACAGATTCGAAGGCTTTATCCCAGATGATCAGAACCTGCATCTTTAACAGGCTCCCTCAGATAACACTAAAGACCTGGAGAGCCACCAGGCAGTCTGGATATACCATGAACTAATGAGCTATAAGCTTCAGGGTCCTCCACTTGCACAGGCCCTTTCCAAACCATCAGCAACTTTGTATTGTGATTTTTGTCTTTTTAAAGAGGTCTCCCAGAACTGCATGAGGTCCCACAAATTGTGGGTCTGCTCTTGGGTAGGGTAAGTGGAAACCACTTAAGGTTTTCTTAGCAGAAGCACAAGCATTCAAGATACAATTTTCAAACTAGAAGAATCTGCAAGACCAGCACATCAAAGTATGCTTTAGAGAAATCCAGCCAGACTCAGTGGCTCATGTCTGTAATCCCAACACTTTGGGAGGCCAAGGCAGGCAGATCACTTGGGCTCAGGAGTTCAAGACCAGCCTGGCCAACATGGCAAAATCCCATCCCTATAAAAATACAGAAATTAACCATGTGTGGTGGCGCACACCTGTAGTCCCAGCTACTTGGGAGGCTGAGGTGGGAGGATCACTCAAACCTGGGAGGCAGAGGTTGGCAGTGAGCTGAGATTTTGCCACTGCACTCCAGCATGGGTAATGGAACAAGACTGTTTCTAAATAAATAAATAAATAGAAAAAAGGAAAAAGAAAAACCCAGCAGCCAGGAGCAGAACACAATAACAGCCTGAAAGAGAACCTGAGGCCAGCGTGGGGGCTCACACCTATAGTGCCAGCACTTCAGGAGGCCCGAGGCAGGAGGATCACTTGAGGCTAGGAGGTCAGGACCAGACTGGGTAACACAGTGAGACTCCTGATCTCTACAGAAAAATTTTGAAAATTAGCCAGGCATGGTGTCGTGCCCCTGCAGCCCTTGCTAATAGGAGGCTGAGGCTGGAGGATCGTGAGTCTAGGAGGCCAAGGCTGCAGTGAGCTATGATCACACCACTGCACTCCAGCCTGGGCAGCAGAGAGGCCCTTGTATCAACAAAACAAAAACGTGAGAGTAATAGCGAGAACTGGGGTCAGCCGGGTCTAAGAGAGTGCTGATGTCTTCACAGAAAAAGGAGAGGCAGGCGCTGGGCGGTGGCGCATGCCTGTAATCCCAGCACTTTGGGAAGCTGAGGAGGGCGGATCACCTGAGTTCAGGAGTTCGAAACGAGCCTGTCCAATATGGTGAAACCCCGTCTCTACTAAAAGTACAAAAAGTAGCCGGGTGTGGTGGTGCGTGCCTGTAGTCCCAGCTACTCGGGAGGCTGAGGCAAGAGAATCGCTTAAACCCGGGAGGAGATCGTTCAACTGCACTCCAGCCTGGGCGACAGAGTGAGATTCCGTCTCAAAAACAAAACAAAACAAATAAAAACTTGGTGGGGAGGCAGGAGGATACCTTTCGTGTTGGGTGGTGGAAAAGATTCCAGCGGGTGAAGTGGGAACTGAGCCCAGGCAAAGCAGCCCAATCCACCTTCTTTCTGTTGCACCCTACAAACGCTCTGAAAGCAGCTGAAGACAGAGTTCTCCAAGAAGGAACCAAAGGTCAAAATAATGCTGAGAATGCCTCACACTCGCAGGCTTGCTGGGACCCACGCAGTCCGAGCCCCGGCCTTCTCAGACTGGGGCGCTGGATGGAGCACCGGGGTAGCAGAGCGGGCTCCTGGCACCGGGAGCGCAGCTGCCGCGGTATCAGGCCGGGACCCCGCCAGCCCAGCCAGGCTCCCGCCCGCGTCCCCGCAGCCCGCGTCCCCAGGGCCTCACCGCGCGCGCCCAGCTCGGCGGCCGCCACGTGCTCGGTGAGCACTGTTCCGAATCGCCGCAGCCGAGACACGATCCGCTCGTACAGCGTCCTGTCCTCGCGTCCGCCGCGAATGCTCCCGCAGAAGTACAGGGCCGGGCGGCCAGACTCCCCCAGCTCCTCACTCTTGCTGCGCCCCCGCACCCTGGCAGCAGCCATTCCCCAGCCGCCCGCGCTCTCCCGCGCCAGGGGGCGCCAGCCCGCGGCCACGTGACCCCGCCCGGCCCAGCGCAGAGATCCGCTGCTGAGTCCACACCTGGGGAATGGGGAAGACGAACTGGGAGGATCCAACCGGGACCCTCTCTGAAACACACCCTTCCCGGACTTGACGTTCGGATGCCTAATATGCACCTTAACTTGACCTTGTCCAAGCAGAACTTCCCCACCTCACCAGCTTCTGCTCCCCGCCTCCCCGCCGTCTTTCCCAGTTGCATCCTCCCAGCTGCTCAGGCCCAAGACCCTCGGAGTCATCTGGATCGTTCCCTTTCTCTCAAACTCTGCGTCCCATCCATTGGCAACTCGTGTAGATTCCTCCTTCTAAATCTGAAATCTCACGACCACCTACAGGGCCACTACCCTGGTCTAAGCCTCCTCCCGGCTCTCCGAAGCCTCCTAACAGGTCTCCCCATGTCCTGAGCTGCCCAACGTCATACAGAACCAGGTCCACCCACCTTTGTGTCTACCCATAAGGTCGGGTTTTTATTGATGCTATTTCAATCACAAAAGTTAGGCACCACATGGAGTTCCCAAGAAGGCAGTTCTTCTTAAGACCACCTGTTCACTTGGTAGTCAGAGCTGTGGGCATGCAGGCTGGAGCCACTCCACAGGTCAGACTGTCTTGCAAACCACACATAGTATTATATGTAAGGATATAAGGATATAAATGTTACAGATGAAAATTTCACATCAAACACAGGAACATTTAACATCAAGAGAAAAGGGGTTAACGAACCAGTCCAAGGAGAGTGTTATGGACAGAGTCCTGGCCTGATGGGGATAGTCGTCAAGGGCTTGCAAGGAACAGTCCTTGATTTGAGCAGAGCCTTCAGAGGCAGACACCAGGTGCTGGTCACAAGTGATAGCAAGACTCAGTCTGTTAAGGTGGCGGTGTCTAGCCGCTGAAGTTCTGCTCATTTTATGGCCCTTGAGTCCTCTGATGAGGACTTATAGTAAAGGGCGATGCCCTTATCTGGTTGGGTGTTGTCTCCGTTGGTTAGGTGAACATCTGGACCCTGTTGGCTTGATGCCTTTTGAAACGTAAGATGGAGTTTTTTAAAACTTTATTTATTTATTATTTTTTGGGACAAGGTGCCTGTCGCCCACACTGGAGTGCAGAGGCACAATCATTGCTCACTGCAGTCTCACGATCATTGCTCACTGTAGCCCCAAACTCGTGGGTTCAAGGAATCCTCCCACCTCAGCTTCCTGAGTAGCTAGGACTACAGGCACATACCACCATGCTAAGCTAATTAAAAAAAAAAAATTGGCCAAGCACTGTGGCTCACGCCTGTAATCCCAGCACTCTGGGAGGCCGACATGGGCAGATCACGAGGTCAGGAGATCGAAACCATCCTGGCTAACGCAGTGAAACCCCATCTCTACTAAAAATACAAAAAGTTAGCTGGGCATGATGGCACACACCTATAGTGCCAGCTACCCCAGAGTCTGAGGCTGGAGAATCTCTTGAACCTGGGAGGCAGAGGTTGCAGTGAGCCGAGATCACACCACTGCACTCCAGCCTGGGCAACAGAGTGAGACTTCATCTCAAAAAAAAAAAAAAAGTGTAGCGATGAGGTCTTACTATGTTTCTAGGACTGGTCTCAAAACTCCTAGGCCCAAACAATCCCCCACCTCAGCCTCGCAAAGTGCTGGGATTACAGGCATGAGCGAATGCACCCAGTGATGGAGTCTTTTTCTAAGATGGAATGACTTATGTCAAGGGTTCTCTATACACCTCCCTTACCCTTCCCTGCTACAGTCTGCTCTCCACTCAGCAGCTAGAATGATGTAGGTCAAGACCTTCCTCTGCTCAAAACCCTCCAATGGTTCCCATCTCACTTGGGGTAAAAACTGAAAACCCCACAGTAGTTCACAAGGCTCCAGATGATCCTATCACCCTCTTACCTCCCTAACTCCAGTTCCTATTATTTTCATTCACTTCTCTGCCACCTCACTGGCTTCCTGGCTGTTCCTTAAGCATGTCAGCCATGCCCTTGCGTCAGAGTCTTTGCATTTGCTGTTCCCTCTGCCTGGAACCCTGTTCTCCCAGGTAGCTTCCTGGCTCACTCCTCATTTCCTTCAAGTCTTTGTTGACACTTTACCTTCCCTGACCACCCTATTCAATATGGCAGCCCTCCATCCCCCAGTTCTCTCTATCACCCTTCCCTACCTTGCCTTTTCTCCTCCTCATGCACCATATAACTTACTAATTATGTTGCATGTTTTTCTATACCCAGTAGAAGGTTGTTCACTGCTGTATTCCTGCATTCGTTCTCTTTCTCTCCTTTCTTTCTTTCTTTCCTTCTTTCTTCTTCCTTCCTTCCTTTCCTTCTTTCTTTCTTTTCTTTTCTTTCTTTCTTTTCCTTCCTTTCTTCCTTCCTCTCTCTCTCTCTCTTCCTTTCCTTCCCTCCCTCTCTCTTTTCTCTTTCTTCTTTTCTTTTTCTTTCTTTCTTTCTCTCTCTCTTCCTTCCTTCCTTCCTTCCTCCCTCCCTCCCTTCCTTCTTTCTTTCTTCCTTTTTTTCTTTCTTCTCTTTCTTTCCTTTCTTTCTTTCCTTTTCTTTATTAAGAGACGGTGTCTTGCTCTATCACCCAGGCTTGAGTGCAGTGTCATGGTCACAGCTCACTGCAGCCTCAAACTCTTGGGCTCAAGCAATGCTCCCTTCTCATCCTCCTGAATAGCTGGGACTACAGGCGAGTGCCACCATGCCTGGCTAATTTTTGGTAGAAATGGGGTCTCACTATGTTGCCTAGGCTTATCTTAAACTCCTGGGCTCAAGTGATCCTCCCACCTCAGCCTCCCAAAGTACTGGGATTACAGGTGTGAGCCACTGTGCCTAGCCTATCCCCAGTTTCTAGAACCATGCCTGGCACATAAGAAACATTTATTAAACGTTTGTTGAATGAATTAGTGGTTTAAATGAGAGGATGAATTTCACAGCACTTCGTAGTCTGCTCAGCCCTATAGTAAGCAGGTTGATAGAGGCAGTATATTCAGGGAGACAGGCAAGCACTCATTGTTCACCAGTACTGATTTCACCCTCATTTTATTATGACAATCACAAATATATGACAAAACCTTCAAATGGAATGAGAGAGTATGCAGTGGAAAGAAAGTCCTGAGACCCCAGCCCCACTCCCCAGAGGAAAGCTCCATCAGTGTTTTCTTCCGTATTCTTCCTGAAAGATAACTATTAGAGTACTGAAGTGTGCCATTGCAGAGAAGATACAGCAATATGTATATTTTTAATGCTAAGATACAAAGGGGAGACAGAGATTTCAGAGTATTTCTGCCCACTGCTGTGCTGGGCCCAGCTATGTATACACAGACCATGGGGCAAACATGAAGACATAGCTGCACACCTGTCCCTCCCCCATCGGGTGCCCTCTCTCACGCACGCACAAACATGCATACACAGATTAGGAAGGAGGCCTCAGGTGCCAGCAGACTTGATAGGCAACCTCCCCAACACTCCTTATCCTCACTCACACCTTCCCTCCAGTTCCCCCCAAAGACAAGGAACACACATGCACAGACACACACACACACACACACACACCCCATCTTGTTTCTGCCTCTGTATTTTTTTTTTTTTTTTTTTTTTTTTTTTTTAGAAAGAGAGTTTCACTCTTGTTGCCCAGGCTGGAGTACAGTGGTGCGATCTCGGCTCACAGCAACCTCCGCCTCCTGGGTTCAAGCAATTCTCCTGCCTTAGCCTCCGAGTAGCTGGGATTACAGGTATGTGCCACCACACCCGGCTAATTTTTGTATTTTTAGTAGAGACGGGGTTTCACCCAAAGTGCTGGGATTACAGGCATAAGCCACTGTGCCTGGCCCCAGGAGGCCAGTCTCAATTCCGTTACTATCTCTGTGACCTTGGTCAGGTCCCTTAAACTCTCCAAGTCTGTTTCCTCATTTATGAAATTGGTAAGAAATGTTATCCTGTCCTACTCACCTGGTTTGAGCATGGTGCAGTGAAGCATGTGAAGGCACATTAGAAAATATAGGCTAGGTGCGGTGGCTCACACCTGTAATTCCAGCACTTTGGGAGGCCAAGGCAGGTGGAGTGAGTGAGATAGCGCCACTGCACTCCAGCCTGGGCGACAACAGCGAAACTCGTCTGAAAAAAAAAAAAAAAAAAGAAAAAAGAAAACACAAAGTACTCAGGGAGTTTTTAGGGTGGTAAAATTACCCTGTATGATCCTATAATGGTGGGTACATGTCATTATATATTTATCCAAACCCATAGAGTGTACAACATGAAGAGTGAACCCTAATGTAGTCTATGGACTTTGTGTGATAATGATGGTCAATGTAGGTTCATCAGTCTAACAAATGTACCGCTTCAGTGGGGATGTTGATAATGGCGGAGGCTGTGCATTTGTGGAAGCAGAGGTGTGTGGGAACTCTCTGTACCTTCTGCTCAGTATTGCTGTGAACCTAAAACTGCTCTAAAAAATAAAGTCCTTTTAAAAATAAAGTGCTATACAAATGTAAGTCATTGTTCAATTAAACAAAAATTATTTTATTATGGAAAATGTCAAATTTATATGCTGATACAGAGAATAGCTAAAGACTACATATCATATGATTCTATTTGACATGTCTAGAAAAGGCATGTTTGGTGAGACAGAAAGCAGACCAGTTGTTGCCTAAGGCTGGGGGTGGGAGCAGGAATTGCCTGCAGAGGGCACGAGAAAACATTCTGGGAGTGACAGAAGGGTTCTTTTTATTTTTTTGAGACAGGGTTTCACTCTGTTACCCAGGCTAGAGTGCAGTGGCACCATCATGGCATCACAGCTCACTACAGCCTCGACCCCTCAAGTGATCCTCCCACCTCAGCCTCCGAAGTAGCTGGGACTACAGGCAGGTGCCACCACACCTGGCCAAGTTTTGTTGGCAGGCTTGGGTGCTTCTATGAGTTTGCCCATTATACATCCTTCATATGAGTTTTGTCCTTC